GAGATACCAATAAACCCTGCTTGCCAATCCTTCACTTAATTATCATCAGGTTCACCATTAAATTTCATTGATTGATAGTTGATATAGTTCACAGTAGGAAAATAATACTTTATAACAAAGTCATGTTCTGGGTAAATGTTTCAGCTAACATTCTAGGAAATTCTAGGAAAATAAGTATGGATACATTTTACTGGAACTATAATTATACTCTTTAGTGAAACAAATCAGTTACTGTTCATGAATCTGTGTGTGTGTATCTGGTATGTATATATTTACAATTCTAATACATATATGTAGTTCTCAACCCAATCCCTGAGAGAGAAAAGACCACATGAATGCAATCTGATCAAATGCCTCTGCTACTCCCTTATTCCAAGCAGCAGCCAAGGTTTCAGTTGGACTATGCAACAAACTACCAGAAACAATTACCAGCTCCCTCAGAAACCATCCAGGTCCATTCAGTCACTGGAGGTGGACAAGTACAATAAGTGTAGCCTCGCTGCAGTAGATAGTGGCATTACAGAATCCCATGAAAATCATGTTCTAACATGATAAGGAAGACACCAAGAGCTCCTCCAATTTCAGATCATACAGCCACTATTCCAACTGAAATATCAGATCTGATTACGAACACTATCCCATGTCAGGATCTTGGTGATCTGGGATATGTTCATGGGTGTCATGGTTATGAACTCCTGAGCCACCTCAAATCCCATTCTTAGAGAAGGCAAATTCAGTATTAGTACAATACTGTATTAGTAATTTGATCTAGATTACCCAGAACTTTATTCTGACTAAATCAATATTTTATACATCACAGTAACCCATAGTGTAATTTATTATTTTGATAAAGCATAACATGAGATCTATTAATAGCTAAAGTTGCTACAAAGCATTACACGGTTTTGTTTCTTCACATTAATACACCATTCCCACTGGAAACTTCAACTAAACATGGTTTGTTTCCTATAATTATTCCTACCATAATTAAACTTAATAAACTTCAAATGAGGTAAACACATATACTGTCATTTAATGAGTGCCAGCATAAAGTTAATGTACCTATAGCAGACAGACGTTTCCTCTGAATTTCTGTTTGGAACTCTACTGAATCTGGAATTCTTTTGTCTTTCTTGTTTCCTTATCTAAAATCCCAAGTCATTTAAAACAAATGTCATACAGACGCATGTTTGATCTTCAAAACAAAATTCTTATGATCCATTTCTGTACAATGTTACTCTATTCTGATGCTTAAGCCCTGTTACCAAAATGCATATTCCATGTTTCTTTTCATTAACCAGTTTAGTACCTTTTTGTTATTATTATTCCCTGAATTGGTATGTTGTTGTTAATTGTGAAGTCGTGTCCGACCCATCACGACTCCATGGACAACATTCCTCCAGGTCTTCCTGTCCTCTACCATCTTCTGGAGTCCATTTAAATTCACACCTACTGCTTCAGTGACTCCATCCAGCCATCTCATTCTCTGTCGTCCCATTCTTCTATTGCCCTCAATCTTTCCCAGCATTAGGCCCTTCTCCAGTGAGTCCTTCCTTCTCATTAGTGGCCAAAGTATTTGAGTTTCAACTTCAGGATCTGGCCTTCTAAAGAGCAGTCGGGGTTGATCTCTTCTAGGACTGACCGGTTTGAACGCCTTGCAGTCCAAGGGACTCGCAGGAGTCTTCTCCAGCACCATAGTTCAAAGGCCTCAATTCTTTGGCGCTCAGCCTTTCTTATGGTCCAACTTTCACAGCCATACATTGCAACTGGGAAAACCATGGCCTGGACTATACGCACTTTTGTTGGCAGGGTGATGTCTCTGCTTTTTAGAATGCTGTCTAGATTTGCCATAGCTTTCCTCTGAATTGATATACCTTATTATTATTATTATTCATGAAGCTGTTTAATACCTTAGAGAAAGCCATTTGTTTCTATTACCCGGATAATTATACCTGCAACATAAATTCTAATTTTATAGATAATGGATATAAACTGTTGACTTATTTTTAACTTTAGTGCTTCACAGGGAGACAAAACTACAAGACGCACAGATATTCATATCTCAGATGGATTAGTGTTATTGCACTGTGCATTCATAAAATAATATAAAAACAAGGTAAAGCCTTTGATACATGAAAACCTTCACTGCAAATAACAAGGTCTGAACTGTATGTACAAAACAGTGTATAATAAATCATGGATAACAAGGACTAACCATATAATATTTCCATGTCAAAACCCCAAAATTGCTAAGCCAACATACTTAAGCCAAGGCAAAAGGGACCTACTTTAAAGTAGAAAATCTTTTACCATTTTAGTTTCATAATTTGATCTAACAAAATATCTTTTAGAAAGTGGCTATATAGAATCAAAGAGGAAAAATATATTCTTCTATTAATCTTAAGACAAATTACTACTCAATTGTCTTACCTGTGCATTATAACTCCCAGAGAGGAAGGATTTCATGTCCTAGGTCATTACAATTATAATTAGATATTTTTTCTGTCCAATATTCAATAGGTTAATCCCACTGTACTTGTTAATTTTCAGCAGTTCAAATAAAAATTTGTTCCTTAATTGATTTTTATTTGAATATTCTCAGATTAAATGTAAACTCTTCAGCTTCTACTTCTGTATCTTGAATTACTGATCTTTTAAAAATATTTCTGCAAGCTACTACAAATATATCGTAAATGCCGGCGTATAAGACGACTTCCGCGAGCGCTGAAATCGGCGCCAAAGACGGGGGTTGTCTTATACGCCGAGTCGTCTTATACGCCGGAAATACTGGTAGTTTCCGGCGTATAAGATGACGTTCTAGGAATGCGACCCGGCTATAAAGACGGGGGTCATCTTATACGCCGGGTCGCCTTGTACGCCGGCATTTACGGTACTCTTAATGTGTAGTACCAATATTCTGATTCAAAGGGCAATATATAACTCAGGATAGAAGAAAGGGCATTCATGTACAGATAGTCCTCGACGTATGACTACAACTGAGCTTGAAATTTTTATCATAATTCATTCTGATCATCATGTGATCTGACTCAATTTTACAACCATTTTTATGATGGTCATCAAGCAAGACACCATGGTCATTTAATAAATCACATGGTCATTGAGCAAACCACATGGTTGTGGAGCGAATTCAGCATATCCAATGGGATTTTCTTTTGGCATTTTCTGATGGAAAATGGTAAAAACATCACAAATCATTGACAAACGACCATAGGACACTGCAACCAGTCATAAATGTGAGCAGTTGCCAAATGTATTTTTATTTGTTAAATCTATTTACCTCCTATCTCACCATGGGGCTATTTATTCTAAATGCTTGAAATGAAATCGTGTGTGTGTGTGTGCGCACGCGCGCGCGCGTGCAAGTACAGCAGTCGTAAGTTTGTGGGCAGGTCATAACTAATTTTTTTGAGTCCAATTCAACTGGTTATGCAAGAACTATCTGTAATACTTATCAGAATACCTTTAACCAAATGCAAGTTCTTCCAGAATCAAGTCTAAGCCAAAGAAAAGCACCCATGAAACTTCCCAAAAATATGCAACTATATTAAAGTGATCCCAAATGATAATACACAAATATCCACATTTGGCCCTTTGAAATAGATCTCTGCAAGGCCCTTCTATACAGCACTGTGCACTTTTACTCTGATGTATATACCATTTTATTCAAACCAATTAAAAATTGTTTTTAGGATTGTGTCATTACAGAAACTTTTTTTAAATTTAGCCAAGAGCTCAAGGTTGTTAAACTTATTAAGATCAGACTAAAATCTGACACTCAAAAATAGTTACAGAATAATTAGCATCTTATTATTTATTAAGTTGTAATTCCAGGAAAGAAACTGTATTTGAAGATGCCCCTTACAATTGGTTCTTGACCCTTAAAAGTAGATGTCTTCCCTTCACCTACCAATACCAAATATATGCTCTTTTCTCCATCCTATTTTAGCTTTACATTTTCCTCACCAGAATATATAAATATATTTATTTTACTAAAGTATTTTTCATCCTTTCTTCTTTTCCCTGTAATACCCACAAATTGCCTTATCTGTGCAAAAGGAAATTTTTTAATGTATTCCTTTTAGTATGCAAACATGATATATATGTTTGTCATGTCAAATTCTCAATTTCAATAATACTGAATCTTGATATGAGCGGAGTAGCAATTCACTAATACTAGAAGAAGGAATGAGATAGTAAAGTTCTATTCGTACTTCTTCCTCAGGCTTCTAACATATTTTTTCATATAATTAGTTGCTTCTATGAATGGAAAAACAATTTATGTTGTTTTTACAATACTTATACTTAGTCAGCATTATATATAAAAATGCTTTCAAAATATTCAAGGGAAAAGATACATTACTTTTTATTTTTTAATTTTGTAAAATAAATAAATGGAACAATATCACATTTTTAAAAATGAGCCTGATGAACCAATAAATGTAGAATCAGGTTTATATATATGCTATATATATAGTAGACCTCAACCTATGACAATTGGGATGATTTCTATCATAAGTTGTTGCTGTCATGAAGCTAGATATTACATGACTACATCAATTTATGACAGACACTTCTCATTGCAGCTGTTAACCAAGAATTGGGGTTGTTAAAATCGAAGCCATTCTGGACTTCGTCCTTCCCATCCCCAAACCTCAGTAAGGCCTCCAACAGCCCTATTTCCCCCTCTCCCATTTTGTCTTTTGGGCTGCCCTTCTCTGCACCTTGTAGGTGGCAAGCAGTCCCAGAAATACATAGTTCACCCAGCTGTTTTGTCTCCTAGTTGCAGCCAAGCAACAAAACATTTCCCAAAGACAACACAGCTTTAGTCATTTTTTCAGTCCCACTGTAATTGTGAACAATGAACAGTCATTAAGTAGAAAACTACCTATTATTCAGTTGACCCTATCTGCTGAAAATTATCAATTATTAGTAATAACTAATATTGTGGATTCACTTCACTTTTCTATAAAAAAAGTTACCTGTCATTTATGATCCAATTCAGACATAGATTGAGAGAGGTAAGGTTTCTGCATTTTTTTACTATTTCCATCACAGTTTCATTATCCAGTTCTGTGATATGACGTAAGTCCAAGCTGGAAAGGTTTCTTAGCTATCAAGATAAATAAAACAGACAGTAAAATATAAGCATACTTAATTATTCTTATATGCAATGTTCTACCTCCCATTATAATTTAATTCTCTTTTTTGTTGAGAATAATTCAAAGTTCAAAAAATTTCATTCCAACTGAATTATTTTGTACTTGTATTATAAACATTTCCAAAGTTCCTGTTTGCCAATAATTATGATTGGATTAATATAAACATATTTATTAATGCAAATATTAACAGCATAACAAGCAGTAATTATATAACATCCTGTTTTTTAAAAACAATTTTTTTTCAGTATTTATCTCCCATGGATGAAAGATTCCTCAAGTCTGTGGAAAATCTCTGATACAGCAAGGTTTTGGGAGGAAATGTCAAACTTCTAATGATAAATTAGAAGTAATAGAAATTAGAATTAAAACTGCTGAGAAAAACATTAATAACCTCGGTTATGCTGATGATGCCACTTTAGTATCTGAAAGCAGAGCAGAATTAAGGAAATTCTTGTTGGAGGCAAAAGAAGATAGTCAAAGGCCAATTCTGCTATTCCAATATTTTGGGGAAAAATATGATTATGTAAGTCAAGACCAGTTTTCCTACTTGTAGTGTAAAAAGGCTAGATGATCAAAAAGGCTGAATGAAGAAAAATGTCTTTGAACTGTGATGCTAATAATGAAGCTAAATCTCAGATATTTTGGACATACAATATGAAGCAAAGAATCACTAGAGAAGTTCTTGATGCTTGGAAAAATTGATAACTATCAAAAAGGTGACCAAGAGAAGACCATAGAGCTACACAGCATGGGGCCAGGCTACCTATGGAACCATCTTCATTCCAATACATCAAACCATCCCACCCAATCAGGCAGGGAAAGTATGTTATAGACACCAGTGGTTATAGAATTCTGATTGGCAGGGTCTAGGAAGAAAATCTTCTCTGCCATCATCAGTGTCCTGTGGAATATTCTCCCTCTGGAGGTGAGATAGGCCTCCATTGGCCTGGCCTTCTGAAAAGGAGTTAAACATGGCTCTACAGCAGGGGTTCTCAACCTTGGCAACTTTAAGACTTGTGGACTTCAACTCCCAGAATTTCTCAGCCAACTTTGCTGGCTGAGGAATTCTGGGAGTTGAAGTTCACAAGTCTTAAAGTTGCCAAGGTTGAGAACCCCTGCTCTACAGCCTTGTGTGGGGAACCAATAGGGGTAATGCAGCCATGGGGCTCATTGATCCCGTTTGCCTTTTGACTAATTTTTAACATGGTTCAAACATCTTTAAATTCTAAATTTTTAATTCTTGTATCTTCTTCTTCTTGTGCCATATCTGTTATCAGACGTTGGTGATCCTGTTTTTATCAGCAGCCGCATGAAAAAGTTCTTGTATGCTGTTTTTATATTTTAATATTTTTTGTACACTGCCTTGTCTGAGAGATGGCAGTTCGAAATATTTGAAAAATAAATGAATAAAATAGATACTAATATTTATAAGCACAAACCCTATAAAATTTTTAAAAAGCAACTATTGAAATGATATCCTTTTAAATATCTGAACTAAATAAATACATAAATCTTCATCCTTCAACCTTCACCCTCAAAATACATAATCAAATTTGACATGAAGAATATAATATAACTGAGATTTTCCCAGAACAACAAAGCATTTCCACTGGTTTTAAAATACATAAAAGTCATTTCAGTTTTGGTGAATAGAAATGAATTTGAAAGCTACTATGTTTAATCGTGGAATCCTTAGTGCTTTTGAAAACTACTAAGGATTCACAGTTAAGCTCTGAGCTACATATATTTGCTTCTATTGGAAACATATTTAATTTATAGATTGTTTCTATTCTTAATTGTCTATGCTTATTACTGGACTATAAAGATTTTACCACTTTTATAAGAGATGGACACTTCAGTGCTCTGCCTTTGATTCAGCTTTTCCTACTTTTCACTTACAACCTTGTCCATATAATTTAAATTCTAACTGTGACCTTTAGTATTATTCAGGTTGCCTACTAATGCTATAGTTAATGTTCATGTTTCAAAGTCACATTATTAGCAAAAACCAAATAATTAGTTTATGGAAACAAGTAAGAATGGAGCTAAACACCAAGATTAAAACTGCTCATTTCGCACAAAAAAATATAACATTGCAGTAGTTTAAAAGGTAATTTAATGATGTAATACAATACATTATTATTCTGAATAATTTTACCCTATGCTTTCCTTGTCAGAGTTGCTGGAATTTGAAATGGGAGAGTTCTAATCTTAAGTTTATTTTGATGACCAGGCTGAACATGAGCTGAAAGGTTTTTATTTCTAGCAAGATTCAGGATACTTCTAGTCCTAGATAGCCTGATTTTTCTTATCTTCCATTTATAAATGATTACAGACAAAGGCTGACCTTTGTTAGTGTAGCAGCAACCTACAGCTTTTCCAATCTGGTTTTCCCCCTTCTTCTCTCATCCACTTTCTTCTATGCGTACAGAGTTCTGATCTTCCTGGATTGGACTCCCCCTCCCTGTTGACTGACACTGCTAGAGGCATTCCCTCACCAATGCAAACTTCTGTTCCTCATTAGATCATAGAAGCAGCTGATTAGAAAGTCATTACTTTTCTGTTAACTTGTTACTATGTGGTTTGCAGCACAAAGAGTAAGAATAAGAGAGATCTCTGAGCCCTTCCCTATTGCAAAAATGGTCAGAAGAATGTAGAAAAAAATACAGTTATAGAATAAAAGCGTACAACATTACAAAATTATAATACAACACAAGGACTAACACTGCCTTTTCTTATATAACAGAAAATACATAACAGATCCTATGCCTTAGTGCAAGGGTCCCCGGTCCCCTGTCCGTGGACTAGTACCAAGCTGTGGCATGCCAGCAACCGGTCAGCACAAACAAGCAAAGCCCCATCCGCAGGATGCAGGCAACACACAAAACTGTGCACCCTCCAGTCCGTGGTAAAACCTTTCTCCACAGAATCAGTCCCTGATGCCCAAAAGGTTGGGGACCTCTGCATTAGTGGATGGTTTAGGAAGCAATTCTGAAGAGCTGAGACAAACTATGGTGACACATCTTAAGATCCAAATTGATAAACCAAAAAGAAAGTACAACATTCTTCAACCGTTCTTGAAGAAGTCAAAAATGAAAATGTCTTTAACATTAGTCTCTGTTTTAGGGGATTAGCAAGTGGCCAATATAATGTAACTACTTTTTAAAAAGTGAACCAGGGAAATTACAACTGGTATTATCTCTGCTGTGGAAAACAAGATTTATTCACTAATTACATTTATATTTCACCTTTTGTCTGGCGCTCAGGATGGCATTCTTCCTCATTTTAACCCTATAAGAATCCAGTAAATTATACTGGGCTGAAAAAGAAGAGAATGGGAACAAACAGAAAGGTCTCATAATGAAGGGAGGTAAACAATGAAACCCTGCATAGATAAGTATCTGAAACATTCATTAAAAAAATATGGATGAAAAATTTAGATCTTGGGGTGAAGTTTCCTAATTATATCAAATTATTTATTTTAAAGTTGACAGAAGGGCAAAAAGCAGAGCAAAAAGTTTAATAGCAATTCACAGACAGATTTAAAAAAAATGAAAGTGGCAAATCTGATTCACTAGAAACATTAAACACAAGTAGTCCTTGATTTACAACCAGTCACTTATGATTGGTCAAACTTATGATGGACCCCCCCAAAAGCTACCTATGACCCAGTTCAAGATTTCAACAGCTGCCCACACCTCACAATCACATGATCGCATTTTGGGTGCTTGGCAATTGGCTCAACTTTACATTGTTCCAGCAAAAAACAACCATAGGAATACACTAGTGACCCTGGCATCTGCTTAATGACTATGGCATTCACTTAATGACTGTTGCAAAAAAAATCATAAAACTGAATCTGGTGACGTGAATGCCTTGCCTTATGACCATCTTAACTTAGAATGAAAATTCCAGACTCTAGTACAGTTGTAAGTTGAGAACTATCTGTAATGAACATAGATCTCTAACATCATAATACGCTGATGACTCTGCTGGGAATCAGCATATAAATTCAACATATCACTATTATTATCATCTAAGCTGATGTGATTGACAAGGAAAGGGAGCTCTAAAGAAGGAATATGTTTATTTGAAAGAGACCTGAACAAAACAAGCTCCACTACTAAATAGAAAAGACTATGAAAATAAATTTGTTTCTAAGTTTATGAGAAGGATTCTACAACCTATATGTGTCCTTTGTTTGAATTATTAAAACCATAGTTTCTAAGTATTCTTGCAAGAGCTTCCATCCATTACAAGACTGATCCCTGTTCTTTAAGTTATTCCTTAATACAGTGTTTCTCAACCTTGACAATTTTAAGGCATGTGGACTTCAACTCCCAGAATTCCACAGCCAGCATTGCTGGCTGTGGAATTCTGGGAGTTGAAGTCCACATGCCTTAAAATTGTCAAGGTTGAGAAACACTGCCTTAATATGTAATTTAATCAGTGCTGATGCATCTAGCAAGTGTTCATCTGTTTAGAAATATCAGAAAATAACACCTAGTTAATATACTTACATTGGTAAGATGTATCACTCCTTTAGATGTAACAGAACAGCCCATAAACCCAACAAACTGTAACTCAGGACAATGTTCAGCAAATGCTTTAACAGACTGATCAGTTACCTAAATAAAGAGAAAAAAAAGAAGTTTACATTATTCTCCATTCTTAAATAACCAAAGTCCAAGAAAACATTCTAAAGGAATGCATGATGACTTTCAGGACTATTTTTTCTTACTACAATAGCATTAAAATAGACCTTAAAGACCTTTGGGTGATAAAGAATAAGATAAACCTTTTCCTTTTCCAATAAATATCAGTAAAATACACATAAACAAAATATAAAAATTGATTGTACTTGTAAGAATAAAATAAAAATCAATTCTCTAAATGTATTGAAGCCTAAACTAGTAATCAGAAGATACACACTTAAAATATCTAAACATTCAATTTATTTTTTTTAGAATCCAAAATATACTGAAGACAATACACATACATCTTCATAGTTATTTTTGAGAAAGGATAAGCAGGCCAAAGCTCTTACAGGCAAACCAGATGAATTTGCTCACTAATGGATGGTAAACTATTTTGGTAGTATCTGTATAAAATCAGGGATTCTTTTGAGTCTGTGAAACCCATGGAAGTATTGAAGGTTTTCTATAGCTTGAACTCTGCTACCATGAGCTTGATCTATGCCATTCCTTGCTCCTTTGGGTGAGTAGGCAGGGTGTAAATAGCTGAATCAGGGAAATCATTAATGCTTCTGTCTGCTTTGAAAGAGACAGCAGTGCAACCTTTTCTCTCTCAAGTCTTTCCTGGACCTAATCCTTGTTGAAAACTCTCACCCTATCTAATGTTTCACTTTTTAAAAAAAAACGAATATCCTAATTATCACTCAGGGTTTTAGTATTGGTCAGTTTGGTACCATTCTTTGTTAGGACCTCAGGGGAATATGACTCTTTTGTTCTGTTAGATTTCTCAGTATTCATCATCATGACCATGGTATCATTCTGGATTGCCTTAAAAGTTTGAGCTGGAGTTGCTGTTATAATCACTAATCATGTGAGGAGAGCACATGAGTCATGGAAATTCCAGTGCAGGGGTCCCACTGGTTCAGTATTCTGTCCAATATTTTTTTACAAATACATGAATTATCCAGGAAACACCATCTAGCAGGTTGACATTGTTATACATTATCACCCTATAATTAACTGGAGATGTTGTAAAACTAATGGCTGTAATTGTGATTAACTGAAGGGACACATCAAATTCAGAGTAATTAATTCCAAGACAATGTTGCTAGTAATCAGTAAACACATTATGACAGCAGCAGCTTGGATACAGGTGCAAGGGGACTTGCCCCATGATGCCGCCTGCTCAGTTGAAGGCTTTGTTCCTGCCCTCAAACTAAGGTCGCTACATGCAAGTGAGCAGCACAGCTGGGCCACGGACAGCATTGATTCCTGCACCTGGCTGACTCCAATTCCACACTCTGCACTGTAGGCATGCTAAAAAAGCAAACACTCCCCCCCCCAGAATGGAAGCTTCCAGGGGCCATTGATCTCTTTTGCAGAGAATTTGTGTTTGAACTTGCGCAATATTATGGCACCCAGGAGCTTCCATTATTGGCGCGAAAAGCATTTCCAAGCTGACTCTCCTCTCCCTCAAAGAGAAAGAAACCGCAGAAAGAGAATTTTTGCAAGGTAAGTGAGTCCGGCGCAGCAGGAAGGGAGTGGGATGCATGAGCTATTTTAGTTGGCCGGGGAAGCCTTGAGGGCCTGTTCCATCATTAGGCTCTCCATGGCCTTCCCCACCCTGAGATATTTCATGTGCACTTAACGAGCCGCATGCATCTTAACAAGCAGGGAGTAATCTCGTTTGAGGTACGAGATTCGCTCCGAGTTTTCGAATTACGAATGGAATGGGCAGGCTCCATTACATTTGTAACTCAAGGACTATCTGTAAACACTCTTTATTAAAAAATATATAAAAGAAATTGACCTTCAGCAAAGCAAAGCAAAAGCATCTAGCATCATATTGATTTTGCCCCCATAAAAAAGTAAAGTGTCTTAGAGACCCACAATTTGGAAAACAATTTGTGACTAACCAGCAAATATTTTGTGAACAGAAAACTCTCCCAAAGTGATCATTTTGTGAGTGTGCCTATCACTATATGCTCCCAAATTCTAAATATATTCTCAGCTCAAAAGGATTGCTTACCCAATACAACTGGATGTCAATTAAAGAATTCATTATATTTTTTCCTTTTGCCAATTCTTGAAAATATGTTTTCTATAATCTGCTTGTATGGATCTTTATTATAAAATTATCCATTTAGTTTAATTTTTTTAAAGTATAGCACTCAGGTATTTTTATGATTTTTTATAATTGTAATAATTTTATAATAATTTTTATTTATTTATTAAATTTATTTAATTTTCCTAATTAAACATGGTACAAATTTCAGCTTTTCATAGCATCCTATCAATATCAAATATAGTTTTGTACAATTGGGGATCTTGGACTAATTTTTTTCGAACCAGCCAGAAATAAAGCTATAAACTGTAAATATTAGTTCCTTCAGTAAAGAAAAATAGTCTCAAAGTCTACTCAGTCAGCACTTGCAGTGTCCATGTCAGCATTTCATACCACTTTAATATAAAAAAATAATGTATTTTCACAGCCCAAGTACATCATATAGCAATGGATATTTTAACTCCCTACTGTCAAGTAAAATATCAGGGGATTTACTAGATTTCCAATGTATTATCTTTTTATCTCCTAAATGTAATTTGCAAACTTCCAACTGACAATATAATTTTTAAAACTTCAAATTGTTTTAATGAAGGGAGACTGTTATGAAAGAAAATTGGTAAATCTCTGCAAGGATTGAGACTATATTGGGCTTAATGCTGGAGTAATTCTTTTAAAATTTGGCTATAACGTTTCATTCTACTGGTTTCACTATCTTTCCAGTCTTTAGCATTTGAAAACATTTACTTGTTATCTTGGTATAGGCAGCTGGTGATTTCACAAAAAAAGTTTCAGTGCTCTCTAAAAGTTGCATATTTAAGCAGTTGTTTCTAATATTCTGTTCAAGCACAACTTTCTTTTGCCAGACAACTATCAGATCCCACTAATTCCTACTGAACTTTAAGTGGAGAACTAGATAACTATTTATAAAAATAAAAATATGGGTATTGCTACCTTTTGACACAAAATAAAGCTATGTCCAAATGTGCTTTTTAACAATGAGCATGCAAGTTGAAACTCAGAATGCGTATTACTTTGTTTTAAAATATTTTTTGTTCTTTGAGCTGTGATACAGCTCAATTATAAGAAGCAAATATATAAAATATTTTTAATATACAGGTAAATAATTTGCCTATAAATTCTCCAACATTTCCAAGCATCTGTCCAGTGCTAATAGCCTTCAATCATACCAAAAAATAAATAAATGTAGAAATGCCTCAAGTGATATAAACTATAGTTAAGTTGTCTGTTCATTTATTTTATTTCACTGCAGCTGGACTCTAGTGGTCTACATGTATGTTATAATAAAATTATTATTGTGTATAACAATTACATCCAATAACAGACACAATCGTTAAATAACTGCATAGGTCATTAAACAGAGCATAAGGTGCCTCAAGAGTGGGAGAAGCCCTGGGAGGCCCAACAAAGACTTGGGTCCACCTGCCCAGGCCTCCCAAGGCCTGCTGCACCACTTGAGAGACAACCCGTTCTCTGCTTCCCACTCCTCAGAGTCCCCACAGGCCTTGGCCTGCTTCCCACTTACTTCACTTACTTTTTGAAAATCTCTGCAGCTCTGGGTCAGGGTAGGAGGAGGCCATACACAAAACAGTTAGGGGTTGGAGAGAAAGAAAATAGAGCAAAACAATCCAGTGATACTTCTGGGTGGAAAACTTGATGGACTAGCCAGTTTCCAAGCATTGGGGTGTATTGAGGCAAACACTGGCAGCCAGGTGACAAAACAGTATCTCCAAACAAGAAGATGAGAGATTACCCACTTTAGCTCCAGAAGGCAGCTTCTCACAAGGAAACACACGGAATCATACAAGATCTGAGGGACTCCGTAGGTATTTTGCTAATAGAACACTGAGAGTTGTAGGGAAAGACATTAAGTTCATAGCCTCACATGGAGCAGGGAACACTGGGTTTGCCCAATCCACTTCCTAGAGCACGTTGGAATGGAGAATTTTTAAAAGTGTATAGAGGTCTTCCAAGCAGAGAGCATTTTAAACTGCCCAATCTGTGTACTTTTGACCCATGGGAAAGATTATTCAGGAATGATACTATTTGGCAGATCTGGACATTTACTTAATTTCATTAGTGGAAAGTAGTCACTTTTCAAGCATGGCTTTGCCTCCACAATTGAACAGTAAAGATGTTGTGTGATGGGAATACATAGACAACAGTGACTGTCTGCCATTTTCCCAAAAGATGTACTCAGCCATGCAGCAAGGGAGCCATTTAATATACATGAGTCCAAGGAAAGAGCCACTTCTTCAACACAAAGATCAGCCAAGTTATTTCCAGAAGGCTCTGGTCTTTGCCTACATTCTAAATGGAAAGGCATAGATATTAAATATAATAATTCGCATCTCTTTGAGATATAGTAAAGAACTTACTATCAAGAGTTCCAAGGGCAGAAGTGTTCCATTATGCAATTTTTTTCTGACTCATTGCTAATTAGAATGCTATACCATCTTCAAATGTCTTCTCTGAGATGCCTACAATGGTTGATAGTCAACTATTTGCAGAAGAGTCAATCACTTGCAGAAGAGGAATATGAAAATCAGATAGATACTTGAAAAACAGGTGATTTTTAAAATAGGCAAACCATCCTGCTATGTTCCAAAAGTAAATTGGCAGTTTCTTCAAAGAGATTATGTGATCCCTTGTGTAAATAATGTTTTACTTCAAACTTTTTAGGACAGTGAACCTTAAATAAACCTTATCTAATTCATAGGTAATAATGCAGTCCTACAAGCCAAGATCTGCAACTTGAAAAAGAATCTTGGATGTGTTTAAGCCCTGGGGTTCTGCTTCCTGATGCTTTTGCAATAGCTCATATGCCTTGTCAATCACCTCAATTTTTGCA